ATATGCATAGTGCTACATCTTTGCTTGCAGTATTAAACCTAATAATGCATCTGTCGCGGAAGCTTTTCTACGATGAGACTTGATGAAGGAGACATTAATTAGCTAAAAGAAACCGGTTAAATCCCGATGTTGTCTTGCCATATTTAGTCTCAAAGGACCTTGTATTTGGTGGACATCTTCATCATATTGGCAGATGCAAACACTATTTGAAATTCAAATTCAAATTGAGCCCTGTGAGAACCAAAACCTGCTAGAAAAAGATGGTCTCATAAAGTTGGGTTTGCATTGAAGAAAGAGGTCTCGACAATTGCAAGTTCGCCCGTATCAGAGAAGTAAAATGGAAGGAAAACTGTGATGTTTTACAATCCTAGTCATGAGGTTCACATGATGTAATTACTATAATCTCAATAGAAGCTGATTTGTTAACGTTGATTTAACAAATAAAAAGTCTTGACTATGCTCTGTTCTGTTTCAAGGCACGCAGGAAGCGGCTAGAGCACGAAAGAAGCGCAGGGAGAAACACAAGACGTAGTCGGCTTGTCGCGACTGAACATCCATATATATTTTTTTAAATATATTTTTTAATCTTGTTTGCACGCATTGCGTGCCATTGAATTATTAACGTTAGGGTCATGTGATTTTACGCAACCTCGTGGTTAAGAAAAAGTAATAAATGGTTGAGTTGTAAAATACAGTACTTATCTTTGTGATGGAAGCGTTTAACACGACAATTCATTCTGGTCCTCTGAGCCGGATAACGCCAACTGGTGACGATGGCTTTCTTTGCTTTGGGAAAGGCTAAATACTGTTTGAAAAGCTGTAATTGTTCAGCCCTTGAATTCTGTTGTGCAGATAACGTCTGCAGACAAAGATGTCACTACTGTTCGTACGACCACCAATGCGGAACTAGCGAGCAATGCTGTGATAACAAATGCATCAGTAGTTCGTCTTCTTGTTTCTGTGCGAACAAGTACGAATGTGGATTAGGCAAGAAATGCTGTAAAAACAAATGCATCCGTGAATCGTCTTCTTGTTCTTGTACGTATGACTTCCAATGTGGCATTGGAGAGGAATGTTGTCGGGGAGTGTGTCCGTCAAACTGTGGTTTGAGCAGCGGAACTATTGCAGGTATTATCATCAGCAATATTGTCTTCTTCGCCTTCGTCATTTGCACTGTATCCTACCTCTACTGTGCTTCCTGTCCGTATTACCGTTATCGTGCACCCGGTGCTGTGATCGTCACCCAACAGCCGCAACAACAGCTCGTCCCAACTCAAGCACACACGGTGACGACGCAGCAAGTACAGGCTCCTCTGCTGCATAACTACAAGCAGCCTTCTCCAGCAGGTTACAACCAGCCTCCTTCAGGTTTACACCAAGCACCACCCG